AATCCCGAACAGCTGACACGGTGCAACCCGAAGTCCAGCAGACATCGGAAATTCAACAATTTGTGCAAAAGAAAATATAAATAACTCGGGGAGGAGTTGGAGCGAAATTTCTACCAGAAACCCGGCAACTTTTCAGCTGTTCTTCGTTAACGTGACATAAATAGGTTATAATGGTTTTCATTCAGTCAGACTGACAATAGCCACATGCATTGCTGGTAGATTGTAGTAAGGAATTGATTAATTCCTGGTTTCAATATTAGTGAACTGGACTTATTATTTTGTGTCCATTGTTGGACACAACACGGTTTCGATCGAACCGTTATAGCTAGGCTTTCTGTCGGCTAATGTGTCTCTCAGGTTTTGATAAAGGGTCGACGACAGGCCTATGCATGTAGCCTCCTGCTCCAGGGAAGTAGCCGCCCCTGGAGGACCGTTGCTATTAATTTTGGCGTTTCATTGATCTGAATGAATCCTGACCCCACAGCTGACCTCGGTTCTGATTCTCCACAGGATACTGGACCTCCAGCAGTGAACAGTGAGTCCAGCACTCCGGTGGACCGCAGCACCCAAACGTCCTACACGCCTCAGCTGCAGCTCCCCCTGCAGGCGGCGCCGCAGGCCGCAGAGACTCACCTGTTCAGCCACCTGCCGCTGCACTCGCAGCAGCCGGTCCGGTCGCCCTACAGCATGGTGCCGGTCGGGGGTATCCAGTTGGTTCCGGCTGGTGTGACAGCCTTCGTCCCGCTGCAGACGGGGCAGGTCCAGTTGACCATCCCGGCGGTGGGGGTCATCCACCGGGCCGCCAGCCCGCTGCCGGCGCCGAGCTCCCCGGGCCAGGCGGAGGGCGGGCCGGCGGCGCTGGGCGGCATGGTGCCGTGCTTCCCGCTGGGCCCGGTGACGGGCCTGGAGACGCTCAACCTGATGGGACTGGCAAACGCGCCCGGCCTGACGCTCAACGCTGCGCTGGGCCTGCAGGTCCTGACGCCCGGCCCGGCTCCGCAGGGCGCCGCCCAGAACCCGGTGCCGGGCCTGCAGATCGTCAACATCGCGCTGCCGGCCATCATCCCGTCACTGTCCGCCCTCAGCCCGCTGCCGCCCGGCGCCGACGCCCAGCCGCCAGCGACACCGGAGCCGCCAGTGGAGAAGGAGGAGGGACGGATCCCCGCCCAGCAGAACCCAGCAGCCGGCGCCGACAGACCGGAACCGCCGGCCGGCCCAACCAAGCTGGCAGACGAATACAACGAGGCGTCCAGCGACGACGAAGACCGACTCGTCATCGCCACCTGAGGCCGCCGCCGCCTCTTCTTCTTCTCCTGTTTTTGTACTCGTCACTTTTAAGGACTGAAACACTCGAGCCGCGGCTCGCCTTCCAAAGCACAGATGCTGATGTTGTTACGTGCAATCATCGTCCGACGACCAACCGTTTGTTTTGTACATGCTGTAAAGACGATCGTGCCTTTTTGGAGTTCATTGTAAATAATCCGCTGGTTGTTTGTGTTTATTTCAGATTTATTTTGGAAAATTTGACCGTAAACGTCGACAGACTTCTTAATGTTTGAGTGAATCTCTATGGATTATGGGGCAAAAATGTTTGTGTACAGATGTTGTGTTCAGCTATTTATTAAAACTCCATCTAGTGCACATTTTGATCCATAAGTCTATATAGGTATGTGCATTATGGTAGCTTTACATTGCTGTATGAATATTCTTAACTGTATCAGTAAATATTTGTTTATGAAGTTTTTTGACATCTTGCTGCATCTTTTAGAAGAAACTGAACGAAACAATCATATTTAACTATTAACTACCCCTTATAAATGTGCTGAACCACATTTTTTGATTTAGTTTCATCAGCCACACAGAGGCCTGATCTATGGAAAGCAGTTTCATTCAAAATCAAATAAATATTCTTTCAAACATATTTAAATAAATGGTTACCTTATTTTTTAAGTTATTAATCTCATAATGGTGTTTTTATTTTCTGACTTTTAAATAGTAAAGCAACTTATTTTGTAGGCTTTAGTGAAATGGAGATAAAAACTAAAAGTATATGAAAGATTCACAAATTAAAACACCATTATGAAATTAAATAAAAAATAAGGTGAAATAAGGGAAATATTTGAACATTTTACATTGTTAAAATATTGATAAATATTCAATAAAATACTGAATATTTATCAGTAACAGTGTTTTATTTTAAATAAAACTGCTTTCCATACACGTCTGGATTCCAGCATCAACCTGAACAGAACCAGTCTGACGACATGAAGTAGGCTGCCTCAGTAGGTTGTTTTTGGAGATGCCTAGTCAAAGTATGGACTTCAATCTAATGGATGTGCTGCAGAACAAGAGGTTGTTCCTGCTGGAAAGCCCCCCAAAGAGTCTGATTTAGTTGTACAGGTCAAAGTTCATCCAGAAACAGAAACGACTTCATTGGTGTCAACCTCTGACCTCTAGGGGGGTGATTACTTTTTCACATCACACTCATTGCGTTTGGATCAGTTACTGAGTTAAATTGGTATTTAAAAACAGATTCCTGTTTTTCTTTGGCTAATTTTGATCTAAAAATTTAAATGTGTCTGAAAATCTGAACCAGGAGAAACCTGTGAGGGTGTAAATACTTTTTCCAGCACTACATTTTGTTAAAATTATTCTGAATGATGACTGGTCCATCAGCATCGAGACAATTAGTGAAAAAACATTTTTACTCAACTTAAAGTATCTAAAAAGTAACTAAAGAGAAAAAAGGTATTTGGTAAAAGTAGAGAGTAACTTATCAACTGTTTAATATTTTAAAATTACATCAGCAGACGGATCAAAATATAAGGAAAATATATGAAATTCTTGGTTTTTTAGAAGGAAAATAATTATATAAATTACATAAAATCTGACAAAAAAAAAAAAAATTCCATATAAACTTATTGAACTTTCACGGAATTTGGTGAATTTTTGGTGAAAAAAGTTTGAAAATTATTCAACAAAATTAAAACGCAAAACGTAGTAAAAATACTCCTGAAGTAATTTTCTCCATAAAAGTGGGAATAAATAAAATGCAACAGCAGCTCCTGTTTATGAGCGGACAGTCAGGTAGGTACAGCTATGGCAGGCCATGTTATCATATAATCACTTTTGTCTGATTTCCTGTTATAACATTGCAGACAACTAAAAATGAGTTTTGACTCGACAATCACATTCTGACTCTTCTGAACGGTAATTAAAGACATCATTAATCACTTATTGATAAATAAAAATTCCTTTCAAGATGGCGTCACCAGATTCACTATGTGACAAATCACACATCCGTAAAAACGATTCCAGTTAACTTGACATTTTCGAAATCTGAGTTTCTAAAAATCTAAACATTCACATTTTCCTGATGTGTGGTGTTTAGGTTCTGCAGCTGACCTTTGACCTCTCTGCATCGCTTCAAGTACAACAGCTCGGGTTGTTTACAGCTGATTGCCTCGTTCTGCTGTGACTCATCCATCCAGATCCAAACCCAACAGCGACCCCGACAGGAGGACATGTGTAACTGCAGGTGACAATCTGAAGAAAACTGCAGCAGAACCAGAAATTAGCAACAATTTATCACTTTAATCTCACATTAAACTCTTCAGGACAGTTTAAAAGCTAAAAAATAACATGAAATAAAACAAGTTTTCATAGCTGTGTTTGTATTTCTCCATCGTTTTGTAAACGTTATAGTTTAAATGCTGTTATTGATTATTAGTATTTCTGCAAACATTGAGGATGAGGAGTTAATTTTCTGAGATGAGACTCTCTTGAGTGAGTTCCTCCCAGCACAGGCAGGGGGCGCACTCCTTAAAAACACCTTTATACACAGAAACAACTTCATCCAGTGACAAATTGAAACTCTTCTGAATCTAATTTAAAACCTTTTAAATGTTTATTTTTCCAAATTATTTTTTGGAAAAATAAATTTATTTTTTAAATTTAAAGTTAAATATTAAACTTTCAGGAAATAGACAAATATTTCTGTCAGCCCTGGTTGTTGCATTTTCTTTCTAAGCCTTTTGAAGGTTGAGAAAGGACCGACTCTTTAGCTGAGAGCGCCCCCTGCTGGACAGACAGAATAAAACTGACTCTTAAATGGAGAGAAACCAGCAGCGCTGGAAAAGTTGCAACTGTACAGAGGATCCATGTCTGATGTTCTGCTGGTTTGTTTGCAGAATAATTTTCTCCAGTGTGACGATCACAGATAAATGGATGAAACCAAACTGGTTTCAGTGGTTTTACCCCAGTAAGGATGACACTGGTCAGCTTGCTGCTGTTTGTACTAAACCAATGATCTGCACTGCAAAAACACAAAATATTATGAAATATTTTAGTCTAGTTTCTAATCCAAATATCTTATTCCACCTAAAATAAGATAAAACTGATTTATAAGTAACTTTTCAGCAAGATATAGTTGTTATAAGTGAATAATTCCTTCATATTGAAGAAACAGTGGCAGGCTTTGTGTTTTTGCAGTGTGATCCAGATGCATGTAAAAGCTGCAGGATTGCAGCTTCAGAGGACAGAAACTCTGCATGTTTATACATATTTTATTTTTAGCATTAATTTGTACCTTTTGCACCAGAGGAGTTCTGGTCTGTGAACCTGTTTACTGGGAATGGCAAGAACATTGGGACTTATGGTTTACATAGTTAAGAACAGTCGTTTATTTCTAGTTTTTATTTTTTTATACTTTTTTGTTCTCCATCTTTTCTAAGTGATGTTTAAAAGTGAAATTGGTTTACTTTTAGCTTTTCATTCCATCTCCTGAACATAAATCCACAGGTTTTTGGCTGAATGGCCCAGAATGAAGCCTGCAGGTTCATAAAGTCTGTGACAGTGCGCCGCCTGCCGGGTGGAAGCTGCAGCGCAGTGGAAACCCCAAAGAGACAAACAAACTTCAGAGGGAGGAGGAAGAGGAGGAAGAGGAGGAAGCGCTGCTTATAAAGCCGCAGCGCTGCACATGTGGAGCCACAGAACCAGGATTCACGCTCCGCTCAGGTTCCTCTGCGGATTATTCCTCATTTCACAAAAGATGGATTTTAAACTCTGGATCTCCGCGCTGTGCGTGACGCTCTGCGCAGGTAACTGGCTCCCACTGAGCATGCTCAGTACACCGAGCGGGTCCGGACGGCTGAAACGGTTCCGACACGCAGAAAGCAATCAAAACAGAACCTCACGCCGTTTCTCTGCTTTCCTTCCAGCTCTGTGTGCGCCAGCCGCAGAGACGCGCTCCGCCGCACCTGCCAGTGCGCAGCGCCATGTGCGCAACAAGCGCTGCTCCTGCGCAACGTTCCTCGACAAGGAGTGCGTCTACTTCTGCCACCTAGACATCATCTGGGTCAACACACCTGAGTGAGTGCAGCTGGAGGTTCGGACCGGACCAACCTGACGCTGTTAGCGCCAAACTCTGCTGCGGCACTTTGAGCTGAAAGCTCCAGATAAATTTTTTTTTTGAACCGAACTTCGGTCGGAACATCTCAGCTCCTCAGTGAAACAATAATTAACAAAGTGGATCAAGAGATGCACGCAGAAAAAAAAAGTTAATTTCTATTTTAAAAGCTGCATGAAATACTTTAAAAACCCTAATCATTGTTATTTAGTCAGACTCTTTATGTGACCGAACCGCAGTCAGTAAAGAAACTATTTCTCTGTAATTTTCCTCTTATTTCGTTTTTTTCTTTTTCATGCCTTTAATCTTATTTTTCATCTTATTTCCTTTATAATTTCGCTCTTCGAGAAATATGAAAATGATCATTAAATTACTGAAATCTGAAGTATTTTCAGTAACTGAATTTTAACTTATTACGATTTTATAAAGTTCAAAACAAAAATAAGTGATTTTGGTATAAAATTATTATTATTATTTCATATTTTATATAAACTTGAACAGATGATAAAAATTTACTTTAAATCTCAATAATGGCAATAAAATGTTCTGCGCATGCGCAGGAATGTTGGTGATAAGAAGCAGATTTATTCCTCCATGTCTGTTCATTTCATTTTTATTTCATTGTGTCTCATTTTAATCTGAAATCTTCTCTCCTTCCAGGCGCGTGGTCTCCTACGGACTCGGGAACGCGCCCCGGGCCAAGCGCGACCTGTCGGTCTCCACGGCAAACGCGCGCGCGCCCAGATGTCGGTGTCTGAGTGGAAATGACAGCAGCTGCGTGAAATTCTGCCTCAGGTATGTAAAAAAAAAAATCATCACTCAGGCACCTGCGTAACCGTGGGAACTGGTTTGTGCGCGTGACGCTGACTGGAATGTGATTTCGTGCAGATCAGAGTTGGCGACGGGCGCGCGCATGCGCTCTCCAGGTCACGCGCGGACAGAAGACACGGGCGAACCCGACAGGTGAGTCAAACAGAGCACAGGTTGATCGGGAACATCCGGGAACAGGTGACGTTCCCGCAGAACTTCCAGGTTCTTCCCGGATGTTCCCTGGGGAACCTTGATGTTCCGTCATGTCGTCAGTTCCGGTTCGGTCAGGGAATCTGGATCCAACCAGAACTGTACCCGTCTTCTGGACCGGTTCTGGTCTCAATCACGTGACTCTAATGACGACATGAAGAGGAATCAACAGCTGCAGCTTCAGTGACTTAAATCCCTAAAAAACACGCTGGTTCCGATGCTGACGTCACTCCATGACAAATATACACAAAACTAAGAATCTGGAAAATTCAGAAGAAAACCCTCCATAGGAAAGAAAATCATAAAAATAATTAATTCTGGGTAAATTTGCAAAAATTCCAGAATCAACAAAGAAAAAAAATATTTTTGTACCATGAATCATTTATATTTTCTTGATCTTGTGTTTCCTTTTTGTGATGGACATTTTTCAAAATGGCCACCATGGTTTTAATGGAGAATTTAGCGCTGAAATCGGTTGTAGCTAATAGCCACAGCTAACCTAAAAGTTAATTTGGTTAACTGCTAATTTGTTAACCATTTAACTCCACCAACGCTCAACGACTAGACACAAAAAAATGAGTGGAAGAAAGAAAAATCATGGAACCTGAATTTTCCAGTGAAAGGATTTTTACAGTAGTACATCAGAACAGAGAGAATGAAAAACTGAGTCTTCCTGAACTCCTTCCTGTTTGGTTTTGTGGGCGGAGCTTAGACTTTGTGCACTCAGTTTCTATAAATATAATTTTCAGTAAAGTTTCTGGTCCTGGTTTCTGATGACTGTTGTTCCTCTGCAGGCCTGAGGGTGTCAGCGCCGCTAGCCGGGTCCAGCCCGCCGTGTTCGGAGCGGTCCGGCGGATTCGCCTGCTGCTGGAGAAATGGCCGGCGCGGCGGCGTCACCGGGCCAGAGCAAGGCAAGGCCACAGCGCCGCATCCTAAACGGACGCATCCCCTCAGAGTTCAGACTGAAACACACGGCAGCAGGGCCGTAACGGGAGCTGAGCGGCGCCGGGGGCCGGGGGCCGGGGGCCGACACCACCTGGACCCGATTCCCACAGAGCAAACAGAGACTCACACCTTCAGGGATCCCAGCCGCAGTCTCACGGGAAACATGGAGAAACCTCAATATTTCCTGGTCAAAGACACAAATCGTCAATTTTTATGACTCAAAAGAGACAAAATAATAATAATATTTGGAATAATTTCATCAAATGTTTGAGGAAGCCAAGAAGTGAGAGCCGCACCAAACGTAGGAGAAATCGAGATTCAGAGAAGAAAATCTGATTTTCATCCTGAAAGCTTTTTTTCATCTACTTGTTATTTTTACAGTGTGAATCATGTTGAAAGTTTAAATAGTTTGTATTTTTTTAAAACAAAAGCTGTTTATTTAATTTCTTTTTCATTTTGTCTGAAATGTATTTAAAGTCTAAAAAATGTAAAGTAACTGAAGTGTTTAAATCTAAAATCTGCTGGAAACTGTTCCACATTTCCCCGATCCGCTCCATGTTTTCCCGATCCGCTCCATGTTTTCCCGATCCGCTCCCTGTTTTCCTGATCCGCTCCATGTTTTCCCGATCCGCTCCTCGTTTTTCCGATCCACTCCCCGTTTTTCCGATCCACTCCATGTTTTCCGTTTTGAGGCCATTTTTACCTGGAAAACGACTCGGACTTTGAAAGAAGCATTTCAAAAGAAACGCAGGAAGAGGAGCTGAGGTGATGATGATGATGAAGGTGCTCCGGGTTTCCTCGGACTCGACTGAAACCAGAACCGCTGGACTTTTTTCTCTTCACTCCTGTAATTTATGTTTTCCTCTGTTTATTTATTAATTCCTGTGGAGGCCATATTGGTCCGTCTCATGTTTGTCGGGTTCATTTCTGTGAAATGGTGCCGAATTCTGGCCAATAAATTTATTTATCACCAACAGACTGTCTCCATGGGTACTGTTGCATGTTTTTCCATCTGGCTGTGGATCCGAACAGGAAATCTGAGCAGAACTTCACTAAATTATCATCAGAAACCAAAAACACATCCAGAAGGACTCAAGTTCTGAAAAGCTCAAAGTTTTTATGAAAACACGTCAAAAAATTCCTTCAATCACAAAAACAATCCTTAAAAAATCCATACATAAGATTTCAGATGATGAGAAGATGAGCATAAAACAAAAACTTCAAAAACATCTAAAAATATCCAAACAGCAGCAGCAGGCCGACCAGTTGATATTGAGGAACAGAAAACAGCTGCAACACGGTATAACTGGGAGTTAAAATCCAAGATAAAAGAGAGAAAATACTAAACAAATATCACCACACGTCTTCACTGAGCCAGACTGACGGAAACTAACATTACCCTCCATATTTAACCTGGACAGAACCAAGACAAGCCGGTTCTGTGCCTCCGGTTCCGTCCCAAAGTTACACCTGGAGCCGTTCTAGAAACCTGAAGGTTTCAGAACAAAGACATTAGTTCTGGAAAAAAAAGAACTTTTTCTTCATCAAAAGTAACCAGTAGATTCTATGAATGAAACTGGGCTCCACTGGTTTGTTCCAAAAAGGATTCAGGAAAGTTTCATAATAAAACTCCTGAGTCCCGGATACAAACAGGATATTCTGGAAAAGTAACCTGCAGGTTTCAGAGCCGCATCATCAAGGAATCTGGACTGTGGATTTGAGAAAAGTAACTTATGATTCCCTAAAAGTGACCAAATGACCATAAAGTGAGCTGAACGTTATGTGAAGGTACGCTGAATGTTTTATAAAGGAAATTAAGTCTGGAAAAAATATACAAGAAATTCTGTAAAGTATCTTGAAAGTGAACAGAAAGTAGCAGCTTGCTCCATGGCTTTTATTCTCTTTAAATTTGTAACCTGTTTATTAGCTTTTTATGTTTCTGATGGAAGAAGCTTGTTGATGTGTCAGTATATGGACTGTATGCTGAGGAACTGCAGATGAAAGCTGACATATGATGTGACATGCATTGTCTCCTTTGAACTACACAACATATAATTTTTGAAGAAAAACCGGGAAGTTTCAGGAATGTCCTGTTTACGATCCAGAAACGCAACCTAGAATTTCCAAAAGTAACTCATTTAAGCAACATGTAAGTTTCAGAAATGCAACCTTAACATTAAAGTATGTGGCCAGAAAACGGGGAAAAGTAATTTGCAGTTTTAAAAAAGTAAACCGTAAATTACTGTAACGTAAGCTGTACAATCTGGGGATGTATCCTGAATATTATAAGAAGGAAACCTGTGACTTTGAAGAATGTTAGCTATAAAAAAGAGGAATTTATTCTCCTTCACTGCTGTTGATGACGCTTCTTGTTATGCAACTAATAATCTGTTAATGTTCATAAAGCTGCAACTGACGCTGCGAGTCCAGACGTGTTTATTTCAGGATTTATTTCACCTCCAGATCAGAGATGAAGCAGCAAAACCAAAAGTGAGAGTTGAGGTTTGTGGAGAAGAAGAGCAGGGTGTCGAGCGACGAGTCGGCCGCCGCTCTTTAATCTCAGAACCAAATCGGAGTAAACAGATTGTCGTGATCCCGGAGCGGAGTCTGTCAGCGGGCAGGATTTAAACACACATCCAGCTCCGTGTTTGTTTCCACCCTGTAATGATGCTCAGAAAAACTCAGCAGTCATTTTCTCAGATCCAGGTCAGCAGCTGACTGCCTCACCGCTTCACCACAAACCGAATGATGAATGACGAATGATGCTTCTCCAGAACTACGGCCTAAACAAATCACGTTCACTTCATTCTTAAAATCATTCTTCGATTCAGGACTAGACGTTTCGATTCAGGAACAGAGTGTCTTCAGTCGGAGGCTTCTTCAAATTAACACAGACTGCTACAGGAGAGCAGTCCTATTAATTAAATGAGTTACAACAATATTTCGCTGCAATAAAGTACTTTTGGATTTGGATTCAGAGGTAAAATCAGCTGACCAAACATGCTGGACCTCAGCTTGGGTTGCTAGGTAGTGAGCAGTGCCTGCTGATTTGTGACGTTACATCTGATAGGATTTTGAAACATTTTCCTGTCACCAAAAACTTTAATTTAGGAAATTAATGTATGAACTTGTTTTTAATCGCTTGGGTTGCTTTTAGAAGCAGATGAGACTCGAATGGAAGTACGAAAAGGTGCAAAATGTGAATTTTTATCACAGGTCCCATTAAGTCAGTCATTTTATCCGTCAGGTGCTGCAGCAGCTCCTGACAAGTCCGGACGCGGCGCAGATTAACGCGCCGGGTCGTTCTGGCTCTGGGACGTGATGTTTGAAGGAGCAGTGAGAATCTGTCCCTCCCGGTTAATGACTGTCATACAAGCTGTTTTTGGGCTCGGTTCAAACGCCGACACGCCTGCGTCTTGCAGCCGTCACTCATCGGGGATCTGCTGCGACTGGCAGCGGAAAACTATCCACCGCTGAGAGCTTCTAATCTGTCCGGCCCATTTAGCAAACAAATCTGCGGAGGATTGTGCGCCGCGGGCGTTATCGTGACAAACGCTGCAGCCTGCAGAGCCTAAACATAATACTGAGGTCATGTTTCCCCTGGCAGAGCCGCTGTTTGTTTGCGGAGCAGCTTGAAGACATGTCTGCCGCAGGAGACGCTGCCTTCACAGACAGAAATGCGCCGACGCATGCAGCAACACAACACAGCAAAGTTACTCAAACACTTCAATATTTACTTTTCCACCACAGTTTAAGAGTTTAAGCTTCATTTGAAAGCAAATGAAAGTTTGCACTACGCAGAGATTTTCTATGCATCATAACTCAGGTGTAAAAACCACCTCAGATTAACAACAACGCTACGAAACCAAAGCTCAGAAAACTGGAGCTTCCTCAGTTTACCAGCAAATAAAGTAACAGCCACTGCTGAGCAAGAGCTGGACACTTTGGTGAGAGCAGCCAATCCCAAGGTGGAGACACATGAGCAATGATCCAGTTATTAACAAAGATTATCAGGTCATTTCAAAGTCAGACATTTGGCCCCAAGTCAGAGAAAACAAGGAGATTTTAGATCTTTGAAACCATCTGATGATCTCCTGTTTGTTTGGCATTCAGTGTCCCGCTGCATCAGGAAAAGCAGATTCAATGTTCTGAGTCCTGAAACTGTAAAGACATCAGCTGAATTACCCAGAAAGTACAGCACTGTGTCAGTTAGATGTTTTTACACAAATATTGATAACTTGAATAAGAAAAAAATCTTTGCTCAAAAAGTTTTGTATTTTTATTTAATGCATCTTTAAAAATAAACTTGATTCCACCAGAAAATCTATTTATTTACCATTAAATGAGCCACATTTGCACAGAAAAAATACTTTAGGTGAGTAATTGTCATCAGCGCAGAGACTGCTGGGTTTTGCATGAGAATACAGAATGCTTAAGTTCTGTTTGGTTTTTGCATCTGCTCTGTTTTCAGGTTCTGCTGGAGGTTTCTTCATGTTAACAGGGAGTTTTTCCTCTCCACTGTCGCCACATGCATGCTCAGTGTGAGGGATTGTCCAGGAGGACTGAATGCTGCAAGTCAACAACTCAGGTTACATTAGACAGAAGTTTTTTCATCTAATTTCAACAATAAGCTGAACTTAAGGCTCTGATTGGTAACTAGGTAAAATCAGGATTTAATTAAACAGAAATTACATTTTTGTCCATGAAACTAAATGAAATTCATTTTATTTAACAAATGTCAGAGAAAACAAAAATATACCATAACAATACTAAAACATAAAAACAAAACTTCCATATTCATTTTGAAAAGAAGACAGAGTTCAATAAATCCCATCAACAACAGTCTCTTCTGAATGTCCTACATCATTTACACATGTAACTTTTACTCATGTCACCATTTCTTCTCTTCCCAGATGATATTATACATTTATTATTATGGGGTGGAAATTATGTTTGTGGTTTATTGGTTCTATATAAATAAACGGAAATAAACGGAAACTGATGATGTAATTCTAACTTGTTCTGAACCAATAATGAATAAATTGATTTCTGCCGGTTTATGACCAGCTGCAGCTTCAGTTCAGCTCCACACCATCACAAACGTTTCTGGATGATAAATTGTTGCAGAAGTTATTGTGATAAAAGTTTTTAGACCATTTTCCAGTAACATCAGGATAATGTCATTATGATCCAGTAAGTCTCCCAGTTCCACAAACCTTAGATTCAACACTGGAAAACATTTTAATATCCAAAATAAATGAAAAACAACAGAAACAACCAATAAAATGAATAAACAAAACAAGAAAGAAACTTAAGAGTTTCAATCCGGTCAGAAACGATAAATCATGTAGATCAAAATGATTGGTTTTATAGATCATCTGATTGGTTGATGTATTGATGAACTGGCCCTGATCCAGTCTGCTTCCCTCTGTGCTGCAGATCGTCCCAGACAGGAGGCAGAACCAGCGCCAACATAATGGCTCGTAACCCGCTGAGGAATCTCCTCGGCTCGGGAACAATAGGAGGCTGTGAGAGGAACGTCTGGGCGGGACCGCCGGCCCGGCTCTGACGTCCAACCGGCCCGGCTCTCCCTCCGCACGCCCTGTTCCCAGCCAGCACTCCCAGGTGTGCCCAAGCATCTCACGAACGCTGGCCTCGGCCCGGCGGGGGGATTAATCGGGACTCGGAGTCCGGCCCGCCAGAGGTCCGACTGGCGATCTGTCACCACGAAAACCAAGAAGCCTCTCAGGAAAATGCCAGAGATATTCAGAAAATGCTGCAGTCTGACAGGTGAGGAATGTTCAGAATGTGAGAAATTATCTCCGCAGCTCCAGAAAGGAAAATTAACTCCATGCAGAGACGATGAAAGCAAAACGCCTGCAGAAACACAGACCGATCCAAACGCTTCAGAACCGCTTCAGAACCGCTAAATATGACCAGGAAATCGTGTCCAGGTTCTACTGCTGGAAAAAAAAC